AAACTCTGTCTCGAAAAACCAAATAAATAAATAAATGGATTTCAAGGCTTACAGGATACAGCCATGATCAAGTGAAGCCAGAGGAAGAACTCGGGCAGGAACTAAAGCAGAGGCCATGGCGGAATGCCCCTTGTGGGATGCTGCTTATTGGCTTGCTCAGCTCCCTTTCATCCAGACCAGGTCAACCTTCCTAGGGATGGCACACCACCCATCGTAGGCTGGGACCTCCTATATCAGTTAGGAATTAATAAAATTCCTCACAGACACGGCTTCTGGCCAAACTGATCTGAGCAATTATTTGAGTTTCCTTCTTTCCATAGTTTTGTGTCAAGTTAACAGCTGAAACTAACTATGGCAGGATGAAAAGAGAGTAAGAAAAAAATTCCTAGCCAGGCATGGTGATTTTCAGGCTTTTAATTCCAGCCCTCAGGAGGTTCTCTGTGAGTTTGGGGTCAGCCTGGTCTACACAGTGAGTTTCGGACAACCAGGGCTACATAGAGAGACTCTGTCTCAAAAAAGAAAAAAGAATTCCCAAACTGGGTATATAATACATGCCCATAAGGAGGCAGAAGGATCAGGTGTTTGAGGTCACCCTTACCTACATCTGTTTGAGGACAGCCTGAGAAGAAATCCATTCTCCAAAACCAAAACTAATTGATGTTAGTGTCTTTGTCCATTTGGGCCATTATAACAGAATACCACAGACTGGGTAGCTTTTAAATAACAAACATTTCTCATAGTTATGGAAGTAATGGAACCTGAGATGAAGACACTGGCCAATTCAGTATCAGGTAAGGGCCTGCTTCCATCTTCTTGTGCCTTCACAGGGTAGAGAGGAGAAAGGAAGTATTCTGAGGATCTTTTATAAGAGCGGGACTCCTCTCAAGTACTGTCATTCATGGCCTAGTCATCTAATCATCTGCTTCCTGCCGCCACACAGGAGCTTAAGATTTCACCAGCCTTTCATCCCAACACTTAGGATGCAGTAACAGGCAAAATCTGTGCATTTCAGGCCAGCCAGAGCTACACAGAGAAACACTGCTCAAAAATTTTTGTCAACATATGAATTTTGGCTGAGACAGTTACTCTGCAACTGTTGGAACTGTGGACGAATTTTCCCCCTTTATAATTAACCTTGTACATTGTATAATTGTAATACATTATGTATACAATTTAAAACTCACAATTTTGTTGCATTTTGTTTTTATTCAGTGCTTCAGCATTTCTGACCTCATGCATGCTAAGCAAGTACTGTACCACTAAACTATACCCACATACCAAATTAATACATTTTTTAAAGTGTGATACACTTGAAATGGTTCTCTATGAAGCAAATTAAAGCACAATAGCAGTCTTTTTCTGTAAAGGTCAGTAACCATAGGAATTTCAATGCCTTGATGTACAATATATATGAACAAGGATCAAAGGACAGCACAGTATGAAGTCAGTCTATTTGACCTGGCAAGGAACCTACCAATAATTCATATTGGTTTTGGATAATTACCCCTGATCACCTAGCCTATAAACAGTACTTTCCTTGTTTTATTTTTGCCACATCATTTAAACTTCCCCCTATCATTTAACACAGAGCTTAGTGCATAACAGGTCCTTGGCAGCATTTGTAACTGATTTTATTAAACTTCTGCCTTTTCTAACTTAACAAAACAGTTCCCTTAATCTCTTCAAATATAGGATGGTGCTGCTCCTTTATTAGTAATGTTACTATAGTATATCTAGAGTAATAATGTTTGACAGCTGTTTAAAAGACACACACACACACACTCTTTCATAATAGTGTACCGTATCTAGATAAAGAGAATGAATTTCAGAAAGACTAAATGGCACACTGGGGGCTCGTTGCACTATACCATTACTAAAAGAAAATGTTTAAAATACTGGAATTAAAGCTCTCCTAAACATAAGCCAAGTCATTCCACTTCTAAAACAAAGCCGTTAAAATTTTCATTTTTCAGAAGCCTTTTATTGGGCCTCGTATTGCAACACAAGGGGGCAGCACAGAAGAGTGCCTTCCCAGCTGATTCAAAAAGTGAGGGAATAGCCTGGTTGTATAGCAAGGAGGGTGCAGATGTGACATGCAAATGAAGAACTGTATTTGTACCAGTAGCAGCAGTATTTCAAGTTCCACCAATCACAGGCCTCATTTTGCACTAAATATAAACTTTCTGCTGCACCATAGGGGAAACACCTCCCCATATGACCTAGATGACCTAGGTGAGCCAGGTCCTCTGATGTTCTCTGAGGGTTGTCTTAAATGGTGTTCTCCAGGGCTGGTGCAGGTTCTCTGGTGAGGTCATGCTGGAGAAAAGCTCTCTGTGAAGTGTTGTTCAGAGTGGCTGTAAAGAGCTGGGCAGGGCCTGGCGGATCTCTGTGAGCTCGAGGCCAGCCTGGTCTACAGAGCAAGATCCAGGACAGGCACCAAAACTACACAGAGAAACCCTGTCTCGAAAAACAAAAAAACAAAAACCAAAAAACATGATGAATATGCCTATAACCCCAGCTACTCAGGTGGCTGGATGGAGATTGCAAGTTCCAGGCCAGCATAAGTAATTTACCAAGACCTTGTCTCAAATGAAAAAAGAAAAAAGGGCTGAGGACATAGCTCAGTCACAGAGCACTTACTTAAACATGTATAGGGTTCTCAGGTCCATCCCCAGTACTTCAAAGAAAAATAAGTAAATAAAAATGAACAGCTGGGCTGTCTTCAGGGCAGTCTTCTTGTTTGCCAAGGATGATCATTCTTTATCTTGGTCAAAGTATTTGTGCACTGAGGTTTGGGATGTAGCTCAGCAGGTGAGAATGCTCACATAACATACACAACAGTATGTACATTGTGCCGCAGATTGGCATAAAACAGGCATGGGGGCCAATGCCTATAACCCCAACACTTGAGAGGTAGAGGCAGGAGCATCTGGGTAATCCTTGACTACATAGTGAGTTCAAGTTCAACTTGGGCTATATGGGACCCTGTCTCAAAAACAATTATTTATACATAGCATTAAAAACACATTCTGCTTAGAAATCCAGTGTCAATAAAATGTTTAATTCATAACTTGCTGACATTTGATGTGTCGTGCTGTTTTAGTTGTTCAAAAGATAATATAGGCTTCAGCTCTTCCTTTGTTCCACCCCCCCCACCCCCCGCCCTTTTTTTTCATTTTGTTTTTTGTTTTTTGGAGACAGGATTTCTTTGTGTAGCCTTGTCTAGAACAAGCTCTGTAGACTGAGCTAGCCTTGATCCACCTGCCACTGCTTCCAGAGTGCTGGGATTAAAGGCGTGCGCCACCACCGATGGGCTTTTCTTTTTTAAAGATTTATTCATGTGTATGTGTGTTTGTGGCAGCCAGGGGTGGGGGTGCCCAAGGAGATGAGAATAGGGTATTGGGTCGCCTGGAGCTAAAGACAACAGTGATCCACCCAGCCAAGCTCCGTCCTCTGCAAGAGCAGCAAGTGCTCTTAACCACTGAGCTATCTCTCCAGCCCCAGATTTTACTTTTTAAAGTATTTACTTATTGTGTGGTGCTAGTGCCTCAACCAAGGACCCCTGCATATACTGAGCAGGTGCTCTACTACTAAGCTGCAGCCTAGCCAGTCTGCATCCCAGAACAGCCTCAGAATCAGAGAGGGGGGGGAGACACACACACACACACACACACACACAGAGAGAGAGAGAGAGAGAGAGAGAGAGAGAGAGAGAGAGAGAGAGAGAGAGAGAGAAAGAGCGCCTCCCACCTACTTTCCTTTATTTTTAGCATCCTGTATTAGTATGTACATTTGTTTCAGTTAATCCAGCATTGATACATTATTACCTACAGTCTTTAATACATTTAGAATAGTTTTCACCTGCCTTTTAAAAAATACACAAATCTAAAGTTTAATGTTACACGAACTAATCTTAAGTACACGTTTGCTACCTTCCCCTAACATTATAGCTGTACTTTTGCCTTTTTGATTTTTAAGGTTTTTAGTACAATGCCTGATCATCGCTTAAAGATACCTAACATGGGCCGGGCGGTGGTGGCGCACGCCTTTAATCCCAGCACTCGGGAGGCAGAGCCAGGCGGATCTCTGTGAGTTCGAGGCCAGCCTGGACTACCAAGTGAGTTCCAGGAAAGGCGCAAAGCTACACAGAGAAACCCTGTCTCGAAAAACCAAAAAAAAAAAAAAAAAAAAAAAAAAAGATTCTTAACATGGACCTCTGGCTTCCACGTGCGAATGCAAAGGTACACGCACACAAATCACACGCAACTCTCCCCAATATTATTAGCACTGGGAATAAGTATAAATGCAAGAGGTTTTCTTGTTAGACGAGAAAGAATTTCCCCAAATTGGTAAACTCCTACTTAGGAACAAACAACCTTCTTTATCTCTGTCCATTCAAGTAATGGGGTTGAAAACATTTTTTTTTTTTAATCCTGAGACAGGGTCTCATATAAACGTGGTCGTTCCTGGATTTGCTCGGTAGCTTAGATGCCTTGAACTGAAAGATCCTTCTGCCTCCACCCACCTCTTGAAGGCTGGGATTACCGCGCGGTGCACTACTACACCCGACTCTAGTCTTTTTGAGACAGGGTCTCTAAACAATCCCAGCTTGTCTGGAACTCACGGCATCCTCCTGTCTCAGCACTTGCTTCGGTAGAGTGCAAGGATTACAGGAGAGAACCACTAAGCTCGGCCGAGAGAGCCCTAGACCTTAGGGCGAAATCAGTGCGGTGAGCCCTTCCGGCTAGTCAGCTGGGATTTTTTTTTTTTTTTTAATTGCGCATGCGTTTGGCCAGACCATCCCGGAACTTAACCGTTGCTGAAATGAAGGTTTAAATCCTCCGAGTTGTGATCCGGAGCTTTCGTGGCGCCCTGGGTTCTCCAAAGAACCTTGGGATTGGGCAAACTAATCCAAGACCGGGATCCGATTGGCTGTCACAACAGTACGCCGCGGAAACGTTGCGTGACGCTCTTAGTACCGCCCCTGTCGCGGGACTGGCCGGGCTTCTGGCCAATCAGCAGGCGTGGCGCGCCCTTCGGTTTCCTCCAGCCCGAGTTTGCCGCCTGGGTTCCCGCGACCCCAACGTCCCAGAGGCGGGGCCACAGTCATCTGGGACGCTTCTTGGAGCCGGCCTTTGGGTGCCCAACAAACAAATCCCAGCTTGGCGGCGGCCGTGAAGAAGCGACCGTGGATCTTCGTGCTCCTGGTTCCCCGAGGCGCCCTCCGGGCCCGGGAAGCGCGGTGAGTAAGAAGCGGCCTAGGAGGGTCCGAGTTAGCGCGCTGGGACGGGTGACCACAGGGCTGCCAGGGGAGAAAGAAAGCGGACCTCAGAACCTTGCCTGCTGCTGTCTGCTAAAGAACGTAAAAGAGGTTTACGTTTGTGATGCGCCTCAGATTGCTTTTACTGTAAAATTTTCTTGGGGACTGAAACTCTGATCCTTGCTCGTGCATTCTTGACGCGAACTGGCCCAGACTGGGTAAGGGATCAGTTAGTGTTTATAGTCGGTGGTCTACAGGGAGTAGACCCTTGTCAAAAGCGAGGTGTGAAATACTGTGTCAGGACACAGAGTCAGTGATGTCACCACGAGAGACTTAACATTCGAGTTGGAGTTGGTTTAGTAGGAAATTCGAAGTAAAAGGGGAGGACAACCTATGCAGTCCTGTCGGAGACTGCTGATAGATGGTGGATGAATGACTAGAAGTTATTGTTGCAGCGATTGGGTATGACTTAACTACGAAGTGCTTTTTTTTTTTTTTTTTTTTTTTTAATTCTGTATATGAAGAAAAGCCATTGACTTTCTAAGCAGGAGAAAAACTTGTTCATAGACACATTTGTGTCTGCACTGGAGGAGGCCGATGTGGTCAGCTAAGGTGGGAGGATGGAAAGAACTTTCTATGGGTAAGAGGGAGGAGAGGTGAGGATGACTTACTGGTTCTTGTTTGCTACACGATGATAACATTACCTGGGGAGAGTTTTTTGCTAGGTACACGTTTTGTACAGTTTTGGCCATTAGTTTTATGTAATACTGTCAGTGTAAGCTAGTTCATCAACTCTCATTGATTGTTTTCAAATGAGAAAGGCCTAATGCATGAAAGAAGAGACAGACAAGGCATTGAAAACACTCCTGTTAGTGAAGAAAAATGGCACTTTATATACTTTGTGGAAGTAGTTATCAGTGGGATAACTGTTACCATGACAACCAAATGCTAAAGGCTTTTTTTTTTTAAAGCCTATATTTCAAGAAGGTCAGATATCTCTATGGGGGACTTTTCGTTGATCTTTAAAGGTCATATACTGCAGAATTTTGTTCATGCAAATATTTTCAGCCTTGGACATTATGGAAAAGGTCTTTTCTAAGAGACTTACACCTGTGTTAGTAATTCTTTAGAAATTATCTTGAGTCAGATAATGCCTTTTAAACATTCTATTAGAGTTTAAAATTTACTTTGTGTGTGTATGTATGTGTACACACGCACACATACACACACTACATTGCACGTGTGGAGGTCTGAGGAAGACTTTCAGGAGTTGGTTCTCTCCATCCACTGTAGGTCCTAGGAATCAAACTCAATTTGCTAGTTGTTTTGGCAGCAAGCACCTAACTCTGAGCCATCTTATTGGCCCTAGATTTTTATCTCGTGTGTGTGTGTGTGTGTGTGTGTGTGTGTGTGTGTGTGTGTGTGTGTGTGTTATGTGTGTGTTATGTGTGTGTGAATGAGCCCAGGAATCTGTGTCCCGCTGAGCATTTGTGGGGGTCAGAGTACAACTTCCCAGAGTCTGTTCTTTGTTTCCACCGTGCATTCTGGGAACTGAACTCAGGTCACTAGCCTTGCACAGCCAGTGCTCAGCTGCCTCAGCTGCCTCAGCTGCCTCCGACAATGTCTTTTTGCTAAAACTGAAGCAGTGCAGGAAAAGTTAAAACTTAAGACTTAAAAAATACTGTAAATGATGGCTGGCTTGGTGGTGTATACCTGTATCCCACAAGCCTCATAATCCTCAGAAAACCACACACAAATATCAAACAGGAAAATCTATGAAGAAATTTTATAAAAAACTATAATGAACTCACCAACAAACTCACTCTTGTGGCAATAAACAGGAAATTCCTTGTCCCCACAAACTAACTTGTGAAATAATCTGGGTTTATGGTTTGGATACAAATACACACTTGCTGGGTATTCTCACTAATATTTTGTACCCACTCATCCACACAGCAAACCTTTAGTTTCCACCTCTTGAGTTCCAAATCTATATGTCTAATTTCATTCAATACTAATGATGCAAAATACGGACTGTATAGTCCTTTCTCTATAGGTCAGCATTTACTATTTTGTTTTTTGAGCAGGGTCTTTTGACATAATGTTGGCTGTCCTGGAACTCACTGTGTAGACCAAGCTGTCCTCAAACTCACAGAGAACCATCTATTTCTGCCTCCCAAGTACTGGGATTAAAGTCCTATGCCATGAGACCTTGTCTTAAAAAAAGAAAGAAAAATATTTTGGGGCAAAATATGTGCCCCAAATATCCTTTAATGAATAGGTATACTAAATTAAATATTGCAGTTTATAGGTTGAATGACTTAAGTATTAAAGAAATCAAAACCTATAACTGTTAACATTTAATCTTTTATTTTTCTGTATATTGGACATTGAACATAGGACCTTGTACTTGTAGGCAAGTGCGCTGCATCCAGAGATTTACAGTATTTAATTTTACTAATCCATAGTTACTTTTCATATAAGCAGCTTAATTTTGTTATGTGGTTAAGTAATGTTTCTTCTTCTATGTTTAACAATATTCATTTATTTCTGTAGAGTACTGAGGACCAGAAATTGAATAAATCACTCATCAAATATAGAGGCTCTAGTTCTTTAGAAAAAGTCCCAGATGAATACCAGGTACAGAAACTTTATTTTATTGATTATATATTTAAATATTTCTTTTTATTTATGTGTATTAGTGTTTTGCTTGTATGTATATATTTATACCAAATACATTCCTGGTGCCCAAGGAGGCCAGAAGAAAGTATCTGATCCCTTGGAATTGGAGCTACAGATGGTTGTGAGCTGCTGTGCATGTGCTGAGGATAAATCTGGGTCCTCTGCTAGAGAAGCAAGTAATCTTAATCACTGAGCCATCTCTCCAGGTCCTATTTTATTTTTTTGAGTCAAGGTCTTGTTATGTAGCCCAGACTGGCCTGACGCTCACCCAATTCTTCTCCCTCATCCTCCCAGATGCTAGGATTATATGCGTGTTCCACTGTGCCTGGCGGTTTAGTTATTTGAGATGGGAGTCTTGCTATGTTGCTGAAGCTGATCTTAAAACATGGGTCTCGCCGGGCGGTGGTGGCGCACGCCTTTAATCCCAGCACTTGGGAGGCAGAGCCAGGCGGATCTCTGTGAGTTCGAGGCCAGCCTGGGCTACCAAG